GAAGAAGATTCACCTCCACACTGATTCACATTCTTGCCAGAGGTCCTTTCTGTGGACAATCACCTTGAGGCTCCCTCCACCCTGACAGCCAGTAACAGGCATATGAATCCCCTTCCTGTTTCAAATCTCTTCCTCTTGTTACATCTACAAGACCTCTTCTGATTTCAGGGGCATATGATAATTTGGTCCACCCAGACAATCCAGGAAAATCTCCCTATTTTAAGTCAGATGATGAGTCTCTTAATCACATCTGCAAAATCCCTTTTACCATGTAAGGCAATTAAACGAAGGGATAACACCAGAAATGTGCTACTTCCTTAGGAGAAAAATAAAAATACTCTTAATTATAATTACATCCATAAGCCTGTTACCAGGGATTACTTTCAGATGGTTTCACACAAGAAAGAAACGTTACTTGCACTTTTTCAATTCTGTTTTATGTTTTATTTCTTCTATATAGCATGCACTACATTTCAGATATATTCCACTAAAGAACAACTTCATCGAATCAGTTTTGGACAATGAATGTTCTTGAAGAGCTCAGTATCGGGAAGGGTCATCAGGCCTGCCACCCGCTGCCAGCAATGAGTGCCTGGTACCAGTGAAGAGGCTCTCCTGCTGGATGCGCCCCAGACACACCCCACCTGAAATTCCCACAAAGGAGTGAAATAGGGATGAGTGCTGATTTCTCAACAGCCTACCTGTGGCCTTACAGTATGTTAAAAATTGTGTAGGGGCATCTCGTACAAGCACAAGTTTTGCTTCATGGGATCAAAGGAAAAACCATCAATGAGTAATGTGTGACTCCATGGAAATGAGAGTATTAACCAGTGGGGAAATGAATCAGTGACCCCCAAGGTGCCACAAACCATCCCCTGAATCTCCATACCGATCCCCTCTGTATCTCTCCTGCCCTTGAGAACTTCATCCGATAATTCCTTTCGTCTTGTCCATAGTTAAGATCATACCCTATCACCCTCTACTTCCTTAATTTGCATTTTCCCTCCACCTCCACCAGACCCTTCTACCTCCATACCCCACCTCCAACCCTCACCCACTTAGAATAGCTTCCTTCTGCCCCATGCCATTGCTGTGACTTCAGCCAAACACTCCTGACTTCCACCGCCTCTGCCTTCCTCTGGACCTATATTTCCTCTCCTCCAGTGACCTCAGCCCAACTCCCTATCATTCTTACCCTTCCCTCAAAATCCCAGCCTTCAAATACTGAGTGTCATTACCTCCCTGTATTCCCCGATTCACAACCCTACATATGCTATTCTCCTTTGGGCCCCTTCGTGTACCCAAACACACTACTCCCCCCATTGATTTCATGACCCACAATGATCTTGTCTGCAGGAGCCCATTATCCCCGCTCTAAGGCTCCTGCTCCCCTTCAACACTAACTATCTTGACACTAACTATCCCCAGGAAATTCATATCCCCAAATACATTGTAATAGAGTTTTCAGTTTCCTGTTTTTTGCTACCTTGGCCCAGTTTGGAGTCCCAGCCTGGAGGACAGTAGTCTCTCCTTCCTGAGCAACTGGTCAAGTCCACATAACCACCACCACTTTCATGGAGCTCTACTTCTGGCCACCATGAATCACCTCCAATCAGTCTGGGACCAACCACCAGCAAATGAGGAACAATCCTTATGCCCCAGAACTTAAGGAATTCAAAGTGCCAATGATCGGAGAGTCCAGAAACCCAACTAGCCCCACTCTCTTTACCATACATAAGCTGCCCCTCGACCTCCAGGGGAACACATGTGTGGCCTCCCTGTCTTCTGGAGTCAAGCTGCCTTTCATCTGAGTGTCACTGTGTTGTGTCCAAATATCAAAAGAATATTTCAGATTTGAAGGCAATGGGGCTGCTACATCTGCACCCCAGTGATCGCCAGAGTTGATTCCACTCATCTGGCTGGCTACGCGGGTGACCCGTGCCTCCCTTGCCACTGCATGCGCATCCCTCCCAAAGCTGTGTAATGGGTGGAGGAGGATGACCTTCCCTGATAAAGGAGGACCTCTCTTTGGTCAAGAGGATGCAAGTAGCTGCACTCTTTGCTGGACCCTCAACACAAACCCTCAAGACCCATTAGTAACAGAATGTACGGGGCGTCAAGGTTCATAGATTCCAGATACATCCAAATGAGGTGCGGCATGGGCAGTCTGCATTTCTTATGAAATGAAATGAAATAAACCATTAATAAAGTAAATAAAATCAGTCAAATAAAACAGAATAAAAGAAAAGAATCTTCCATTCTTATAAATATATTCCCCTTCCTTTGCTATGCTCCTTCACCCACTGTGGACAGGAACTCTGTGCCTCTTACCCAGTGATACTCCTCACTCACTTGTGTGCACTTTTCCTCCCAGTTATCTTTTGTTTTCATGAGATCTGTACACCCTTTCGTCACAGACTCCAATAGGTGCTACAAGCTAATCGTTTTGCACACCTTGTCCCATTGTACCATATGGCCCAGCGATGTCCTTAAAACATGCCATATATTTTATCCCTGTGCATATTTATCCCCTGATCTCCCACAACCACTTTCCATGCTCTCTGCACCCCATTCTCCTGTACCCCCTTTCCCAGTGCTCTATTTCTAACACAGCTCACAGACCCCACACAGTGAAAGTTTCTCACCACACTCCACACCTCAAGTGGCAAAGCTCTGAGCACTGTTTAAACGTTGAAGACATTAAATGTTGCCATTGTGGGCTTGGTGACAGGGAGTCTCAAAGGCAATTGGGATCCTCTTGTTTTGCCTCACAGGTCTGGAGATATGCATGAAACTTTTCTCTACAAACATGTTACTGGAATACATATCCACCTGGTGACTTAGTAACTGTGGGCAAGTGAGGGGGACGGTGACATCTGTGTGGGTAGGTGCACTGCGTGTCAGAATGTAGACATGTGCATGAAGTCAGTGCATGTGTATGAGAAGGACTTATTTCAGTACACGTTTCAGCATGTTTCAGTCAGTGAGTGTGCATACGTGCATTTGTACATATGTCTGAGCCTCCACAGTGTGTGCATTCCTGTGCTTGATGAATGGGTTGTGAGCCATATGGCTGTTTTCCCTGATGGGCCAAGTAGGGCGTGAGTAAAGGAAAAATTCATCTCTTACCAAGGGAGGTCAATGGATCAAAAGGGAAATAAGCAATTTAGTACAAAATTATGAAAATATATGTATTGACTTTTGAGGACAGATTAGCTGTTTCTTTGAAACCATCCCACCTCACCCTGCTTCTTCCAGCGGTGGGCTTCTTCCCAGTTATACTGTTGCAGATGATCATGTACTTTCCATTAGGTAGATGCCCAGACAAACATGTGTGTTTTGTTGTGAGAGAGTCCTGGGCAGAACCCAGGAAGTGACTTGTGTAGACGAGAATCAGCCTAACCTAAGGGAGTTCTGACGTTTGGCCTCTGCTACTGGAGTCGACCTCTAATCGTTTGAGTCTCATGCCTGATAGGGGTGTCTTTGTTTGCTTGAAGGTTTGACCACCAGGCTATTGAACAGTGAGGCTGAGGATGACCCTTTGGGCCCAAAGTACCATGTCAGTCTCTGGAAGGGCTAGAGGCTACAGGTATCAGTTCACCTTGGGGACAGAATGGACAGGGAGGTCAGCCATGCAGAAGGTAAATGGTAGAGTTGTAGTAACGCTGCTGGGCATCAAGGCTCGTGAGAGCCACCCTCGCTGGCAATACCCCATGGGTGTTATCCCATATGGACCCCAGAAGGTAACACTCCATGACTCCAGACATTGGACAACAAAGGGATCCACACTGGGTACATTTCCTGGACTCTGCCTCATGTGTCTCTTCCCTGTCTAATGTTCACCTGTTCACTTTCCCTGTAATAAACCACAAGTCAGTAGAACTGCTCTCAGTGAGTTCTATGAGTCCTTCTAGAGAAGTATGGAAACTGAGCATGGTTTTCAGAAGATCCAAACTTACTCTTGGTGTCAGCACTGAGTGTGGTCTTGTGTGCACAGCAGTCCCTTTAACTCCTCTGTTGAGATAAAACTCTCAGGGGGAAGGCAGGGTAGACGTACACAAAATGTTAGATTTCTCTGTTGCAAAATTTGAAGAATCATTTTGACTCTTATACTTTATGTTTCTTCTTTAATTAGAAATTAATTACATGAGGGGCGCCTGGGTGGCTCAGTCGGTTGAGCGTCCGACTTCGGCTCAGGTCATTATCTCGCAGTCTGTGGGTTCGAGCCCCGCGTCGGGCTCTGTGCTGACAGCTCAGAGCTTGGAGCCTGTTTCAGATTCTGTGTCTCCCTCTTTCTCTGACCCTCCCCTGTTCATGCTCTCTCTCTGTCTCAAAAAGAAATAAATGTTAAAAAAAAAAAGAAATTAATTACATGATCAGTGAGTGCCCTTAGGAAATTTCAGCATAAGGAAGTCTAGAGAACTCTGTTAAGCATTCACTATAGTTGAATGAAGAAAGTAGCTTTGGCTTCAATGACACTTCAGAGATGGATACAATCTGCCTGTGAAACCATCTGATCCTGGTGCTTTTACTTGTGGTGGACATTTCTTCAACATTTATTTCTATGGATTTTGTTTGTTTAGACTTACTAGCACAGCTAGAATTGATATTGTTAAAGTATATTTTCCCAGAAATTTCTAGATCATTTCCAAATCCATTAGCATTTAGCTCTATTAATGTGCCCAATAATTTCTGAAGTAAATGAATGATATCAAGTTTTTGCTTTTACTCTTTTCTCATTAGAAAGCTTTTCAATTAGCTTGTCTGATATCACTTATCCTGAATACTTCAATAATGGTGCAACTTAGGGATTGAAAATTAAGAATGGCATATATTTGGTGTAGCGCTTCTCAAGGAAGCAGTGAATCCAGTGAGATATACCTGCTTGGCTGCCAGTCCCCCATGAGTCAAACTTCAGTAATTCCTGCTCCTTTCCTAGGAGACCCTGCCTGCCACAGGGATCATCAAAAATGAAGAGGCTCTCTCAAACACTCCAGTGGTCTATTTGAAGATACTCAGAAGGAACTTTTAATTGGTCTTTATAATTGGCAACTGGGAAACAACTTATTCATGAGTGTCCTCAGCTGCATACGGCTGAACTGTCATTGTGTGTACAGGAGAAATGATAATTACACTTCCAGGGGAGGTGAGGTCACAGATTCACAGACCTTTATCTGAGTCTGGCTGCCTCCTGTCCACATGTCCTGGCTGTTGTGATTCACGCAGAGCCAACAGTCCTGACAACAGGGAAGAGTCCAGTGAGTACTTCTACTTCAGTCTGAGAGGCACAGTTTACAAGGAAATGTAGTCTGAGTAAGTACCTGTGTGTCCAGAAGGATTATCTTGTGGTAGAAATAGATCCAATGGCAAAGCTAGAGAAAGGGGAGGAAGACTTCCTCAGTTGTGAGCTGAGCAAGTGAAGACAGATTCCCGATGACTCTTAAAATAATGTAATGATATCCTCACTGAGGATGACTGTTGGTGAGGAATACCAGTGATAATAAAATGGGTTTTCTTAGCCACCAAAAGACTTTAGTTAAGAAACTGATGTTTTGCCCACATGTCCTTACATGAACCACAGCCGACATTCACTGTATTATGAGTGATGTGCTCATAATGCCTTTATGCAAATAATGAAGAGTCGGATGGAACTTTAAGAATAACTTCACATTGTGCAGAAACCATCTAAGTGACTTTATTTCTAGAATAAACCAAGCATGTGTAAAAAGTCTAGCTCTGGGTTTGTGATGCTGGTACTTCTATCTGCTCCTGCTTCTTCAAGTCTCTGGCACTCCCACAGAAGCAAACCAACAAACTGGCTGTTGATGTCAAAACCTTCAACGAACCTTTTGTTCACAGGAATGACTGTTGCTATAATTTAAGGGAAAATGTACTGAATGATACAATAGCTTCCATGGATTTGGCAATAGCAATCATCTTCTCATCACAGATGATAGTTGGAATCCTGGGAAACTGTTCTCTTCTTTTCCATTATCTCTTCCATTACCACAGTGAAGGGAGGTTGAGACCCACAGATTTGATTCTCAAGCAACTGATTATAGCCAACTCCCTATCGATGATCTCAAAAGGAGTCCCCCATACACTGAATGCTTTCGGGCTGGAATATTTCTTCCATAATTTGGGATGCAGACTTATTTTGTATGTTCAGAGAGTGGGCAGGGGGGCGTCCATTAGCAGCATCTGCCTCTTGAGTGTCTTCCAGACCATCATGATCAGCCCCATGAACTCCTGGTGGAAGGATCTTAAAGTCAAAGCTCCAAAGTATGTTGGTTTCTCCATTACCCTCTGCTGGATCACACACATCATGGTAAATTTTATCATTCCTGTTTATGGGTTGTATGCGTCTGAGAAACAGAGCAGCAAAAACATAACAAAGAAAAGGGATTATGGATACTGTTCTATTTCTGATCCTGAGACAATCACAGGGCCACTTTTTGTAGTACTGATAATATTCCCTGAAGTTTCACTTTCTGGGCTGATGATCTGGGCCAGCGGCTCCATGATCTTCATTCTGAACAAACACAAGCAGCGCATCCAACACATTCACAGCACTGTTTCCCCCAGATCCTCTGCCGAGTCCAGAGCCATCCAGAGCACCCTTGTCCTGGTGAGCACCTTTGTGTCTTTCTACTTCCTCTCCTCCATCTTTCATGTTGGCATTGCTCTTATTTATAATCCCACTCGGTGGTTAGTAAACACCTCTGCCCTAACTTCTATGTGTTTTCCAACTTTCAGTCCCTTTCTGATCATGACACGAAACTCCACAGTACCCAGGCTCTGCTTTCCTCACATAAGAAACACAAAATCTCCTAACCTTATCAAAAAATGTAAAGTGTGTGTTTTTGCACAGAATTCAGTTTTTTATTTCCCTAAGACTTGAAAAGTCAATATAGCATTGTTTTAAAAATCATTTTCTAGTTTCTCCATTTGCTTTTGAGAGAGAGAGAGAGAGAGAGAGAGAGAGAGAGAGAGAGAGAGAGCCAGTACAAGTGAGGGAGGGGCAAGGAGAGAGGGAGAGAGGGAATCCCAAGCCAGAAGCAGGCTCTGCACTGTCAGCACAGAGCCTGATCCAGGGCTCAAACTCACAAACCATGAGATCATGACTTGAGGTGAAATCAAGATGCTCAACAGACTGAGTCACCCAGGCACCCCAAGAAGTCAATACAGCATCTTAAAGCATAGCTGCATGTCTTTCTATGGTGGACCCTATGTAGGAATACATGAACATTATTTGTTCTTCCAATCAATGAGTGTAGAATGTCTTTCCTTTTCTTTGTGCCATCTTCTATTCTTTCATCAATGTTTTACAGTTTTCAGAGTGAAAAACTTTTTTGCCTCTGGTTAGGTTTATTTGTAGGTGTCTTATTAGTTTGAGTACAATTGTAAATGGGAATGTTTTCATTTTTAAAGTTTGTATTTAATGGGACACATGGGTGGCTCAGTTAAGCCTCTGACTCTTGATTTTGGCTCCGGTCATGATCTCATGGTTCATTTGATCGAACCCCACATCAGGCTTTGTGCTGTCACCAGGAAAACTGCTTGGGATTCTCTCTCTCATGCTCTCCCTTTCTGCCCCTTCCCCACTTGTGTTTGGTCACATGTGTACGCTTGCTCTCTCTCTCTCTCTCAAAATAAATAAATGAAACTCTAAAGTTTGTATTTAACTTCCAGTTAGTTAACATACAGTGCAATATTAGTTTCAGGTGTACAATATACTGATTCAACACTTCCATACAATACCCGGTACTGATCACAAAATTGCATACCTTGCTCCCCGTCACCTATTTAACCCACCCCCCTCCCACTTCCCCCTGGTAACCATCAGTTTTTCTCAATAATTAAGAAACTGTTTCTTGGTGTACTCCTCTCTCTTTTTCCCCCTTTTGCTCACTTATTTTGTTTCTTCAATTCCACATACAAGAGGCAGTTGGGTGGCTCAGCTGACTGAGACTCAGGCTCTTGATATTGACTCAGGACATGATCTCACAGTTCGTGAATTCAAGGCCCATGTCGGGTTCTGTGCTGATAGAGGGGAGCCTGCTAGAATACTCTCTCTCTCTGACCGTTCCCTACTTACACACTTTGACCCTCTCTCAAAATAAATTAATAAACTTAAAAAAAACTATTAATATTCCACATCAAAGTGAAATAATATGGTATTTGTCTTTCTCTAAATACCTTATTTCATTTAGAACAATACTCTCTAGAGGCATCCATGTTGCGGCAAATGGCAAGGTTTCATTCTTTTTTATGGCTAAATAATATACATATCTTTTTTATCCAGGCATCCGATGATGGACATTTTGGCTGTTTCCATAATTTGGTAATTGTTGACAATGCTGTTATTTTTTTTTTTTAATTTTTTTTTTCAACGTTTATTTTTATTTTTGGGACAGAGAGAGACAGAGCATGAACGGGGGAGGGGCAGAGAGAGAGGGAGACACAGAATCAGAAACAGGCTCCCAGGCTCTGAGCCATCAGCCCAGAGCCTGACGCGGGGCTCGAACTCCCGGACCGCGAGATCGTGACCTGGCTGAAGTCGGACGCTTAACCGACTGCGCCACCCAGGCGCCCCGACAATGCTGTTATAAACATTGAGGTGCATGGAATCCTTTGAATTAATATTTTTATATTCTTTTTTTTTTTTTATTCTTTGAGTAAACACCTAGTGGTGTAATTGCAGGGTCGTAGCTAGAGACGAGGGAAATTGTTTGCTTAAGTTCTCTTTCCGCTGTTTCATTATTCATGTATATAAAAAGGCAACAGATTTCTACACATTGATTTTGTAACCTGCAACATTACCAAATTCATTTATCACTTCTAGTAATTTTTTGGTGGAGTCTACCATATGATACACACATATACACACAGAGAATGGAATATAAATAGCCTTCTATAACAACGAAATTATGGTAGAGGCTACAACCTGGATGAACCTGAAAGACATGCTATATCCAGTAAGTCAGACACAAAAGGATGAATAAGGTATGATTCCACTTAAACAAAGTACCTAGAGATACCAAATTTATAGACACACAGTAAAATCATGCTTGTTGGCAACTGGGGGAGGGAAGATGGGAAATTATTGCTTAAAGGGTATGGAGTTTTAGATTGAAATGATTTTAAAATGCTGGAAATGGATACTGATGATGATGGCACAATACAGGAATACCACTGAAGTATACAATTAAATATGGTAAAAGTGTTACATATATTTTATGTTATGTATATTTTACCATAATAAAAAAGGCGCAAAACCACAATGAGATACCCCATTATACCTACTACAATGAGTATTATTTAAAAAAACAACTTGGGGGGCGCCTGGGTGGCGCAGTCGGTTAAGCGTCCGACTTCAGCCAGGTCACGATCTCGCGGTCCGTGAGTTCCAGCCCCACGTCGGGCTCTGGGCTGATGGCTCAGAGCCTGGAGCCTGTTTCCGATTCTGTGTCTCCCTCTCTCTCTGCCCCTCCCCCATTCATGCTCTGTCTCTCTCTGTCCCAAAAATAAATAAACGTTGAAAAAAAAAAATTTTTTTTTAAATAAAAAATAAATAAATAAATAAATAAAAATAAAAAAACAACTTGGGGCGCCTGGGTGGCTCAGTCGGTTAAGCGTCTAACTTCGGCTCAGGTCATGATCTCGCAGTCCATGAGTTCGAGCCCCACGTCGGGCTCTGTGCTGACCGCTCAGAGCCTGGAGCCTGTTTTGGATTCTGTGTCTCCCTCTCTCTCTGACCCTCCCCCGTTCATGCTTTGTCTCTCTCTGTCTCAAAAATAAATAAACGTTAAAAAAAATTCTTTAAAAAAACAACTTAAAGATAACACATATTGGTGAGGATGTAGAGAAAATGGAACCCTCATATGTTACCAGAAGGACGGAAAATGGTGCAGCCACTATGGAAAATGCAGTGGCAGTTACTCTGTAAGTTAAACAAGGACTTACCAGGTGACCCAGAAATTCCACTCCTATGTATGTAAGTCTAAAGAAATGAAGGGGTCAAGGGGGTCAAAGATACAAACTTCCAGGTATAAAATAAATAAGACATTGAAATGTAATGTATCACATGGTGACTATGGTTAACAACACCATATGGCTTATTTTAAAGTGGTTAAGGAGCACCTGGGTGGCTCGCTCTGTGGAGCACCCCACTTTGGCTCAGGTCATGATCTTGCAGTTCTTGGGTTCAAGCCCAGCATCAGGCTCTCTGCTATCACCAAGGAGCCCACTTCGGATCCTCTGTCCCCTCTCTCTCCTCCCTCCCCCACTAACCCTCTCTCTCTCTCTAAAATAAATAAAACATTAAGAAAAATATTAAAGTGGCTAAGAGACTAGATCTCAGAAGTTCTCATCACACACACACACTCACACACACTCACATACACACACACACACACACATAAAATCTGAAACTATTATAATGGTATATGTCAATTATTATTCAGTATAAAAGAGAATTGAAATAAAAGTTCCAAAAGAGATATACAAACATGTTCACAGCTGCACTATTCAGAAATGCCAAAGGAGGAAACAAAATGTGTAAACATCCAATGAGAATATTGTTCAGCCATTAGAAGGACTGAAATACTGACATATAGTACAACATGCATCAACCCTGAAAACACTATGCTAAGGGAAAGACACCAGAAGCTAAAGGCCACATATTATGTGATTCCATTTATAGGAAATATGCAAAAGAGTCAAATTCAAACAGATGGACAACACATCAGTAGTTCCCACAATGTGGGAGGTCGGAATGTGCGTGAATGGCTAATGGGTGGCGGATGTCCTCTTGCAGAGATCAAAATGTCAGGGACGGAGGAGCCTGGGAACTCATGACAGCGTAGGAGATCACCACATCCCACATTTACAACTAGACAACATGCACATCCAGGTCAATATATCAGAGAGCGATCCGAAGACTGGCAGAGCAATCTCCACAAGTAAACATAAAGAAGGCACATTTGAAAGACTAGGAAGGTCACAAAGGCAGAAGGAGGCTGCCGACAGAACAGAGTGAGCTCCGCTCACAGGGAGGACAGAGAAACAGGCCCTCACAATGGCGTGTTCACATCGGTCAGACTAATCCCTATGACGTCTGGCTTTAAAAACCAGAGGGGCTGAATTCTGTGAGTTTGTAAAACCCAGTGGGACTTGAAGGCTGGAGCTTACACGGTCAGCTCACTCGGCCCTGGGTGAGCTGGGGGGTGAGCAGTGGCTGAGTCCCAGCCATCAAACAGATAGCAGCCTGCGCAGAGAGGCACACGAACGCGGCAGTTTACGCACTGCCAGGGGAAAAGGGAGGCAGATCTGTTCATAGTGATTTCAGAGCAGGTCGGGGGACTTCTTTAAACAAGAGGCAGCTGGCAGCTGTCACTTTCCTCTCCCACCCACCAGTTAAACACAGAGCCACCCGCAGGAAGCGGGGCGGCACAGACACTCGTAACCTCAGCCAAGGGCTCAGGGCAAATTTTGTTAAAGTTGCCCACAGACCCACACAGAGGCAGCACCCAGTCACACACCCTCAGTCACTGTCTCACACTGGAACCACCCCCCTGTGCCCGACAGTGCTGGTACACAGCCTCCAGCTGTCACGGTGCTCAGTGGGACCTGACATAGGACTGGAGGCCCAGGGCAAATTTGCTACCACCGGTGCCTGGCTCGCAAATTCCCTGGCAGGCACTTCCCCTCACAACTGGCCTCCAGGGCCCCACTACCACCACAGAGAGCAAGTACAGTCCACCACAGGCAGAGAGTCAGTGCCCACAACCACACGGAAAGGAAAAGTGAACCAGACACAACAGCAGGGGGTCAGCGATACGCATAAGATACTCTCCCAAGGTGCCAGGTTCTGGTTAGGAGAGGACACTGCACCATGGGCAAACTCCAGAATCTCCTCTTCATACGTCACTACTTTCAAGAGCAGAAGACACAGTGGACTTTCCTAACACACAGAAACAGACACAGAGAGGCAGTAAAATGATGAGACAGAGATAACTATCGCAAACAATATAACAGGATAGGCCACTGCCAGAGATCTAAGCAAAACAGATACAAGTAACATACCTGACAGAGAATCGAAATCAATGGTCATAAGAATATTCACCGGACTTGAGAAAGACCGGAAGACACGACTGAGACCCTTAATACGTATTGAAAGAACAACACAGCAGGGACAAAGGGCTCAATAAATACATGAGAGGGGCACCTGGGTGGCTCAGTCGGTTCAGCATCTGACTTCGGCTCAGGTCATGATCTCATCAGTTGATGAGTTCGAGCCCCACATCAGGCTCTGTGCTGACAGCTCAGAGCCTGGAGCTTGCTTCAGATTCTATGTTTCCCTCTCTCTCTGACCCTCCCCTGTTCATGCTCTGTCTCTCTCTGTCTCAAAAATAAATAAACATTAAAAAAATTTTTTTAATAAAAATAAACACAGGAGAAACACATCTGGTGGAAGGAATAGCAGGATTGAAGAAGCAGTGACCTAGTGACCTAGAATTAGTGACCTAGAAGACAGAGTAATGAAAAGTAAAGCTGAACAAAAGAGACAAAAAGATTTATACAAAACAAGAGCAGACTTAGGAACTCGGTGACTCCTTCAAACATAATAATATTTGTATTACAGGACTCCCAGAAGAAGACAGAAAAGGGAGCAGAAAATTTATTTGAAGAAATAATTACTGAACATTTCCCTAATCTGAGGAAGGAGAGAGACATCCAGGTCCAGGAGGCACAGGGAACTCTCATCAAAATGAATAAAATCAGGGGGGAGTGGGTGGCTCAGTTGGTTAAGCGTCTGACTCTTGACCTTGGTGCAGTTCATGATATCACAGTTCATGGGGTCGAGCCCCACATCGAACTCCTTGCTGAGGGCATGGAGCCTTCTTGGGATTCTGTTTCTCCCTTTCTCTGCACCTCACTTGCTCTCTCTTGGTCTCTCTCTCAATATAAATGAAGAAACTTTTCAAAAAGTCAATAAAAGCAGATCCACCCCAAGACCTGTTGTAATTAAATTTGCAAAATATACTGATAAAGAAAGAAATCTTATCTAAAGGGCCACAAGACAAAAGAAGTCATTAACTTATGAGAGGTAACCCATAAGGCAGCAGGAGATTTTTCAACAGAAACTTGGCAAGCCAGAAGGGAGTGGCCTGATGCATTTAAAGTGCTGATTTGCAAAGTCCACAGCCAAAAATATTCTATTAAAAAGGCTATCATTCAGAATAAAAGGAGAGACAGAGTTTCCCAGACAAACACAAACTAAAGGAATTTGTGATCATTAAACCAGTATCCTGCAAAAAATATAAAAGGGGAACACTGAGAGCAATGGAGAGATCCTAAGTGACAGTATAAACGTAGGGAGCACAGGGACGCCTGGGTGGCGCAGTCGGTTAAGCGTCTGACTTCAGCCAGGTCACGATCTCGCGGTCCGTGAGCTCGAGCCCCGCGTCGGGCTCTGGGCTGATGGCTCAGAGCCTGGAGCCTGCTTCCCATTCTGTGTCTCCCTCTCTCTCTGCCCCTTCCCCGTTCATGCTCTGTCTCTCTCTGTCCCCAAAATAAATAAACGTTGAAAAAAAAAATTTAAAAAAAAATAAATGTAGGGAGCACAAAAGCAGTAAAAATGAATATTTCTGTAAAAAGTCAATCAAAAAACTCACAAACAAATTGATATAAATATAATAACATATGCCTAAAATCTGGGGAGGACATAAGAAAAGGAGCAGGGGCATCTGGGGCTTGACAATAGTCTATTTATTGAACAAAATTCCGAGTACACAACTGTGATCACTTTGTGAACTTTCCTTGAGCTACATACTTATTACCAGTGATTGTGCCTTTATATTTTTTAAAAGATTTTTTTGTAATTTTTTAGAGAAACAGAGAAAGAGACAGACAGACAGACAGATGGAACTCACAAGCCAGGGAGAGGGCCAGAGGCAGAGAGAGAGAGAGACAGAGAGAGACAGAGAATCCCAAGGAGGATCCCCATTCAGTGTGGAGCTCAATGGGGGCTTGATCCCATAACCCTGGGATCAGGACCTGAGCCAAAATCAAGAGTCGGACACTCTACCGACTGAGCCACCCAGACACCCCAGGCCTGTGTATTTTTCAAATGAATCTCACCATTCAAAAAAGATGGGATATGCTAAATAGAACAGTGTTGTTCTTCTACTGGAAAGGCAGTGTTGCACACTACATAATGCAATGACATTGTGCTTAGCTTTTAAATGTATGCTAAAATTTCTAGGTAAAACTAAGGAGCAATGTTACAACAATGATACAACTTCCCAAAGAGTACCCAATTATTGTATAGAATTATAACGTCAAATTATATTTAAAAATTCATACAAAAACACAGATGAAAAGAGAAAATAAACCCCATTGAAACCAAATGTCAAACTGTTATATTAACCTTAAATAGACTAATTTATCCCTTTATTTTCTTTCACAGAAAATACTCATTTATTGGAAAATAATGTTTGTTTCATGATGAGAGTCAAAAAATAACACCATAAGCAACGTAAAACCTCTGGCGCTGCTTCTGTAAGGAAACAGCTGAGAGGCTTCTGTGTCACTTTGGGAGCAGACCATCCTCAGGATTTCTGCGCTCCTGTGACAGCTGTGACACAGCATATATGGGCGGTATGTGGCTCCGGGCCTGCTGGAGGCCCAAGGAGCCTACATGGTCCACACAAGATCCTCTGGCCAACAGCATCACAGAGAATTTGAGGGCAGCAGGGAACCACTTCTGAGAAGGGACAGCAGGGGACAGCCTTGTCCCGCCTAACACTGGAGTGTAGACCAGTCTCTTAGACTCATGGTCCTGCTGGAGGAGTAGATGCCCACTGGCCTCGTGCTCAGTTTGTTGCCCAAATGTCTCAGCCAACAAAAACCTGAGACTCTTCCCAGGACAACTTGACCCACCAATTCTCACTGGTGTGGCCAAAGACAAGAAGGAAGTATCTGTGGTCTCAGCCCCTAAAGGCTGCTGGCTGAATCTTTGCACTTCAAATCCTGTCCGTACTGGAGAAAGCAGCCAGGGTGAGCACCTCACGCAGTAGTTCGGAACCACAGAAGAAGAGCAAGATGCTGTTCATGATGCCTTCCAGGAGGAGCATAGAGGTCTCTAGTTCACATAAATAGAATGGAGCCATGTCCCTCCCTTTCAAATGGCTCTCCCTTCAGGGCTCCCAATGGAGTGGAAGTCTCCACCATAAACTCTTCTCTTCACTTTGGAGACTCAAGTGTGCACCTCCAAAAACTCTTTCTTGCCATTATGGTCAAATCACCTTCACAAAGGAGAGAAATTTTTCTTCTCTAGATGCCAATTCCATGGAACTCCTGGCTTTGAAGATTGTCACAATCACCTGGCAATGGAAAAGAATCAGCTAGGGGAGCCTGGGTGGCTCAGTCAGTTAAGCGTCCGACTTCAACTCAGGTCACGATCTCGCGGTCCCTGAGTTCGAGCCCCGCGTCGGGCTCTGGGCTGATGGCTCAGAGCCTGGAGCCTGCTTCCGATTCTGTGTCTCCCTCTCTCTCTGCCCCTCCCCCGTTCATGCTCTGTCTCTCTCTGTCTCAAAAATAAATAAACGTTAAAAAAAAAAAAAAGAATCAAGAATCAGCTAAAATGTAATTCTATGCTGTCCACTACCCTCTCCAGTCTAACCTGTCCATTTCTCCCTGAAAATGTTTCCACAAGCTCACCTCCCATGCTCCCAAACATCATACTTCACATGACTGACTCCTGCCTCTCTGGTATGACATGTACACAATTATACCTGGCTCCCCAAAGCTTTACTTGCTGACTTTATTTTCCCTCCAGCACTATTCTCTGCAGTGTCACTGATGACCTGGTCCATTTTCATGCTCTTTCTGGTTTTATTTTTAAGATTAAATTTTTTTTTAAGTAACTCTACAAACAACATGGGGCTCAAACTTACAACCCTGAGATCAAGAGTCACACACTCCACTGACTGAGCCAGCCAGGCCCCCATTCATGCTCCTGTCCTTATAATTCCATGCCTACTTCACTTCTGGGAAATTTACTGTGACAAATTTAATGGACACGCTTAAAGCCTTCTCAATGATATCTGGATTGTTTCGGGACCCGGATATTACACTGCATAATTTCTGAACTCTTTCACTGCAAGCGTTTAGCACAACTTCAATCACATGAATACTTAAAGATACCTATGTTTCATTACAAATACTATTGCAACTTATTGCTTAATTGAAGAAGATGCTCAATATGTAATGTTTACCATTCTCGGGTTAGCCTCTCATCATTGTACTGGGGACCCTGAGAGTGAGGAATGAACTACCAAACGAGTATCACCGAAACACTTACAATTTACATCTTACTCATAGAATGAGGAGACTTTATATTCTTTGTCCAGGAGAAGCAAACTGTGGATACCCTGGGGTCACGACTCATGAGCAGAAAGGGGCTGATAGATGGGAAACAGAGAGTGAATCCTGAAGCAGTGATCCAGAGAACCCGGCTGGGGTTTTCAAAAAGACCCAAAATAATATTAAAGATAGAAGAAAAGGTGTTTAAGCAGACAAAGGGGCTCATCAGGAGAAAAATGGTTTTGGTGCCTGTGGACACGGGATGATGTGGCAGAGACACTGGTCTGATGAATCTGTTGGACCTCCTGCTTGTGCCATGATGAAAACCATGCAGCCGCTGGCCCAGAGCACAAGCCCCAAATATAACACATCAGGGAATGATAACGCTGCATACAATGAGCCCCCTGCTTTGTCACAACAAACAGCTGAACAGTATCCAAACATTTTCCTGTTTGTGATGTTTTTGTTGCTCAAAGTATGGGATACTACTCAAAAATATGGGATACAGCGTGTTTACCAGTATTTGCAAGACTCAGCACAGGACACGCGAAGGGACAAGGCACTTGAGAGCTTTCCCTTAAGCGCTGCCCATCTGGAGTTCCAGGCGCTGATCGTGATGGCACGAAAGACACTTGAGAGGCAGGTCGCACCAATGGACACACCCCTGACTACGCCCTGAACATAAGGGAAAAATTTACATCCAAAATCACTGAACATGTTATACCACCCAAAAGATGACACTGTATGGTGTATTCCAAGAGAGAACGGGACCAAAACGTTGGCTACAATCAGCTTCTTGAAAACCAAATCTGTGGGCCTTGGCCTGCCTACACCCAGTGAAAGAAAGGAGGTCACAGTGGTAAAGAAGAGAGAAGTTCCCCAGGATTCCAAGCACAGTCTGCACTAAGATCACTCCTACTGCCAGATCCCTGGTGGCCATGCTGTGTGTCCTCAGTGACTGATATTGTCTTCTGGGCTAGAGGATCCTGTGTGCGAATAAGAGGCAGGGGCCACATGAATCATGTCAGCTGAAATCCAATATTCTCCACTCACCAACACTTCCTACTTTCAAATAATTAAAGTTCTTCAGTCATTTGAGGTCTTCCAAGAGATGCATGAACAATCATTACAGAAGTATGTGTGAATCACTGTTAGTTATAACGACCACCCAGATGGTCACTTCTGATTTCTCACAAATACATGAGGCAGGCATCATTGCAATCCTTGGAAAGATGAGGACCACAAAAGCAGAGACGTTAAGTGCTCTCTCTGAATTTATTCACAATTGAGGGGCAGAGTAGGAATTGGAACCTGGGGGGCCGGTAACAGTTAGTGTATTTAATCCATAATATACAAAAATACTACTTAGCTGGGTTCTTCAAATAAACCAGATCTAAATTAGTTTTATGTCTGCACATGGTCATTTCAATTTATAATGGTGTTATTTTATTTTAAATTTTTGACAAGTTTCCACTTATTTATGAAGTATTTTTCTTTTTTTTTTTATTTTTATTTTTTCAACGTTTATTTATTTTTTTGGGACAGAGAGAGACAGAGCATGAACAGGGGAGGGGCAGAGAGAGAGGGAGACACAGAATCGGAAGCAGGCTCCAGGCTCCGAGCCATCAGCCCAGAGCCCGACGTGGGGCTCGAACTCACGGACCGCGAGATCGTGACCTGGCTGAAGTCGGACGCTTAACCGACTGCGCCACCCAGGCGCCCCAATGAAGTATTTTTCAATAGGTAAACATTAACTGTAAATCCCACCCTAGAGACCTCAGTAAACTGTAGATGCACAGACTGTAGAACTACAATGCTGCAGGTTCCTGCCCCGTGACAACCTGGAATTAATGAATGTGAGAGGGCTCAATATTGGAAACGCAACAGAAAGAATCATTTGCTCTCATTCCAAAAACAAAAGTGCAATACCACAAGACATAGGAGCTCTGTAAGTACTGTCTGATTAAACTGTGTGCATTAGAAACAAAATTAGTACTGTCTCCAATGTATACACACACACACACGCACAATTAATGCCTGAGTTAAATAAAATTAGTAGCAACATAGCAAGCTTTGTGAAAGATACTGAAATACAAGACACATGGAAAAAGATGTTAAGGCAAGAACTTGGTATATTGTATAAGTGAAATAATCTGGAATCTGGATTGGTATTATATTATGTTGGTATTATAATAATATTTAAAATTCATGTTTTATTTTAGAGCGAGAAAGAGAGCATATGTGTGGGAAAGAGGGCAAAGGGTGAGAGACACAGAGAGAACCTTAAACACGCCCCATGCTCAGCACCAAACTCAATGCGTGGCACCATCCATGACCCTAGGATCATGACCTGAACTGAAACCAGGAGTCGGACAATCAACCAACTGAGCTACTCAGCTGCCCCAGGATTATAATATTTTGAGGCAGCAGAAGTATCACAAGATGCATTTGAGCCTAAAAATCTTGCCCTGAAACCTAAGTTATATTTTACTTAAAAGTTGTTTCCCTGACATCACTGGGAAAAGGCTGTCCATAATCAATTGAGATACAATTCTTTAATCTTTTAAGGCATCACAGATGTAGAGTTAGAGAAAACATTTCAACTCTAGCAACTGTGATCAGATACACTTTTTCTGCACACAACCAGATGATTACTATACATGCATCCAACTATTTAGTACAAATATGGATGTGTTGTAACTGCACCTTAGAACCTGACAGTTATGCCTACAGTTCATTAAAACAGACTGAACAGCATACGGATTCCACAAATACAGCCCTTAAGCACATTAAAAATCAGATTTCATGACCATTTGGGTGAAACCACATACTCACTGTCAGTGAGGATTATACTACACGCCTTAGGAGCCATCAGGGTTGGGTGTAGGTCTAGGACCCCATCTCTCTATACCAGCTCAGCTTCTGGCTCAGGAGGTAATCCAGCTTCCCATGTGGCTTTGGCACTGAGCCAGATTCAAACGCAGAAAACCCCCTTTGTTCAATCTGGTCACTTACCTGGACTCCTGACACAGTTCCTTCCCTTACAGAGTCTACCTCTCAGATGAACACAGAGAAAACCCGCCTACTTCTTCCTGCTGCCTGCATGATGGGCTCCGTGTTGACGGTCAGAGAAGTGAGTGCGTGTGCAAGATGGGCAGCCGGGCCCTGAGATGTGTTTATGACTGTGTGACCGCCCCCACCACTCACAATGGCAATTAGCATTTCACCTGAAGCGGTACTGACAGTGACAGGCTTGGGACCTGAGAATATTTTTGCAAACTTTCTCCCCACTGGCCAGTTACCAAGAACAACTACAAGTTTCTAGCTAGCACCTCTAGAAACCACTGGTGTGTGGGAAAGGACGCAAAGCCTGAAAGAAAGAAGAAGCCTGGGCAGGAGGGCACCATGGGCCCAGAACAGAGAGCGCTGGACAGGAGAGCGGGCATGAGTGAGACACGGAGCCCAGGTCAAGGGCTGGGGTGACAGGGTTGAGAGAGAGAAGTAAAGGTTATAAGTTATAAACACATGGCCTCTCAGGGGGAAGAAAGGACACGGCATCTGACTTGGTAATCAGTATTAGTCTGAGAAAGACTTTTTTTTTTTTTAAGTTTATTTTTTTTTTAATTTTTTAACTTGTTTTTATTTATTTTTGAGACAGAGAGAGACAGAGCATGAACAGGGGAGGGGCAGAGAGAGAGGGAGACACAGAATC